ATCGACACTAGAAAGGGTATGTGCTATGGTGAGCACTGTGAATTTTGTGAGACTGATGAATCACAGACTTGTACCCCTGAAACAAATAATACATTTTATGTTCATTTTTTTTAAAGTGAGGTATTGCTGTCTATTTCTTTCTCCACTCAGTTCTATCAATGTTGGCTTTATATATTTAGGTGCTCTGATGTTGGGTGCATATATACTTAATAATTATTATATATTTTTGGTGAATTCTTTTTATCATCATATAATGTAAATAATGTATATGATTGTTTCTTGTGACAGGTTTTGACTTAATGTCTATTTTACCAATATAAGTATAGCCAACTATATTGACTAGTTGCATGCTAAATCAAACTGACATCTCTATTCTCATTGGCCTTCAGACAGCCAATTTGTGTCAGGTCCTATCAGCATTCCAAGATAAATTAGACTGAAGTTAGTCCTCTGTGTAGCCTTCAGAAAAATTTAGGTGTTAGAGGCATGGTACATTCCTTACCCTATCCAGGGAAAAGGTGGGATTTTTTTTTATCCACTCACTCTGTACTGAATCAGGAAGAGAAGCTATGGGGCTATGACAACTGCCAGCCCAAACCACCATCTCTTTCTCACTGGCTCCAGGCAGCTACATTATGCCAGGTCCCATCAGAACTCCAAGACAGGCTAGACCAAAGCCAGTCCTCTGGGTAGCCCACAGAAAAATTTGGACATTGGATATAATGACCTACCTCTTTCCCTTCCCAGGAAGCTAGGAGATGGGAGGTTGCCTCCTGATCATATGGTACTGTGTGAGGGGCTGGGATTATGGAAATGTGTCTTGAATTTCCCTACTGCCTCTGATATCAGGACTTTTGTACTCATTTGGGATTCAAGAACCTCTTTCCTAGTTTCTAGATTTCTCACAGAGGGAATCTGTCCGTGAATTGTTGAATTGGTGTGCTTGTAGAGTAAAGAGGGCCCAGGGCTTCCTCTTCTGCTGACTGTTAAAAACTCTAAAACTTCTTAATTTTAGTGTAGACAATGTATCAATATTTATATGTAGTCATTCTAACAAGGTCAGCATTACCTTGATTCCAAAACCAGACAAAGACCCCCCCAAAAGGAAACATATAGGCCAATATCCCTGATGAACAAGGATGCACGATTTCTCAACAAGATACTAGCAAATCAAATCCAACTGTACATTGAGAGAATTATTCACCATGATCAAGTGAGACTTAATCTTGGACTTCAGGGCTGGTTCAATATTTGCAGACCAATCAACATGATATATACCACATTAACAAAACAAAGGGTAAGAACCATATTATCCTCTCAATAGATGCAGAAAAAGCATTTAACAAAATACAGCATCCATTCTTGATAAAACCTTCAACAAAGTAAGTATAGAGGGTACATACCTCAACATTATAAAAGTCATTTATGAAAGACTCACAGCTAATATCATCCTCAAAGAGGAAAAACTGAGAGCTTTTTTCTCTACCATCAGGAACAAGACAGGGATGTCCATTTTCACCATTACTATTTAACATAGTACTGGAAGTCTTAGCCTCAGCAATCAGACAAGAAATAAAAGGCATCCAAATTGACAAGGAAGTCAAACATTCATTATTTGCTAATGACATGATACAAAAGAGGGCCCCCTGGGTTGATTATGGAAATGCAGGGGGTGGAGAGTGGCAGAGGGAGAGAGAGAAGCAGCCTCCCCACTGAGCAGGGAGCCTGATGTGGAGCTTGATCCAGGAACCTGAGATCATGATCCTAGAGGAAGGCATACACTTAACCAACTGAGACAGCAAGGCACCCCCATAAGAGACTCTTAAAGATAGAGAAAAAAACTGAGGGTTGATGGAGGCAGGTGGATGAGGATGGGCTAAATGGGCAATAGGTATTTAGGAGAGCATTTGTTATAATGCACAATGAGTGTTATATGTAAGGGATGAATCGTTAAATTCTATTCCTAAAACTAATTTGTCTGCCTGCCTGTCTGTCACTCTCTCTCTCTCTCTCTCACACACACACACACACAACACATACACACACAAGTATATATAGTGATATTTTTCAATTATCATTTTCTAATTGTTTGTTACATGTATATGTATGAAGTTAAAACTGATTATATATTGGCCTTGTATCCAGGCACCTTACATTCATTTATTAATTCTAATTGGTTTGTAATTTCTTAGAATTTTCTATGTACACAGCCATATCATCTACAAACAATGACATCATTCATTCTTCATTTCCAATCTTTCTACTTTTTTTTTTTTAACCTTATTTTCCTGGCTAGCATCATCCATACAATGTTGAAAAGGAATACAATTATGAAATGAGTATGTTCCTGATCTCAGGAAGAAACATTCACAATTTCATCATTAACTGGAATGTTTACTATGTTTTCTTGCTTCAAATTTCCTTTATCACATTACAGTAACTTGTCACTAGCTAAGTGGGAACTTTTATAGTGAAAGGATATTTTTTCTCATATATAGAAATGATTATATTCTTTTTCTCATTTTCTCTTAATATGGTGAATTACGTTATATCAACTTTCTAATTTTAAAGCAACCTTTCATTCCTAGATCACCCTTCCCTTCCATGGCTATTTATTTATCTTTTACAATGCTAACAAGATTCAGTTGGAAATGTTTTGTTTAAAATTGCTGCATCTTTAATCAAAAATTGATCTGTAATTTTTTCTTTCTAGTATTGCCTTTGTCAAGTTTTGGTATTAAAGTTAGATTCAATACACTCAACTAATGAGTCATTAAACATTGTATTAAAAACTAATGATATACTATACGTTGGCCAATTAAATTTAATTAAAAAAAATAAAGGTAGACTAGCCACATAGAAAAACAGGAAATGCTTCTTCTTTTTATATTTTCCAGATAAGTATGTGTAAGATAGGTATTACTTCCTTTTTTAAATGTTTGGAAGATGTAATGGTTTGAATTACTTTCCCAATTCTTCACTCTTTTCCTAGTATATGATTATTCATCCATATTTTTTGCCATGTGACTTTTTAGTATCTCCTATTAGAGTGGGTAGAGTACATCATACACATCTACTCACTGATGTTGAGTTTGATACTGTGACTTGTTTGTTCAATGCAATACAAGATGGTGTGATTAAGCAAGTGCTGACTCAATTTGTCTGGGCTCTTTTGCTCCTGAAGCATGCCACAAAAACAATATGCCCTAGTATTAACTTTGTGAGAAAGTTTTAAATGACAGTTTTCAGGTCTTTAATGGAAGACTTATTCAATATTTTCAATTTTTCTCTATTCTATTTTGGGAAAGGTGGAAAGATGTGGTTTTGGAGGAATCCATACATTTCATCTAAAAATTTAAATTTATTTTAAGTTATCAACAGTGTTCTCTTTTCTTCTAATGTCCAAAAAGATTAAAAATATGTAATTTTATTATCTGATATTGGTATTTTATAACCTTACTTTTTATTTTGAACTACTGGATAAATTTTTTTTCTGTTCCCATATGCTTCAACAGATAATGTTTATAAACACTTGTCTTAATGAAAGAAGATGTTAGGTTAAGGACACATTATACACATTCCAATGAATTAAGCAGAGAGCTATTCTAGTATCTTTCTAGACCTAAGTTTACATACATTTATAGCTTAATGAAAAAAGATGTTACTTGACAGAAGGTTTATACACAGTACAGTTTTAATTACATACATTGATCTTTTCAGGAATCAGTCTCTCTTTGCTCACTTTTTCTGTTATTTTTCTGTTCATTTTCCTTTTCATTAATTTCTGCTCCTTCCTTAATTATTTCTTCCTATCCACTGTCTTCAAGTGCAATTATTTCTTCTTTTTGTGTCTTTTTGATAGAGATTATAATAAAAAAAATGATTGTTCTCTGTCCTGTAATATGCATTTAATTGTGATTAGAGGGTTGAAGTATAGTCTTGCCTTGAGAGTAGCAATATGACTAATTTTTGCAGAACCTAAAATAGTCTGCCTTGACAATAAGATTAGGAAGCTGTGCTTTTTTTAATTTTTTATTTAAATTCAATTGTTAACATATAGTATTAGTTTCAGGGGTCGAATTTAGTGATTCATTGGTTGCCTATAACACCCAGTGCTCATTATATCAAGTCCCCTCCTTAATGCCCATAACCCAATTACTCTATCCCACACCCACCTCCCTTCCATTAACCCTCACTTTGTTTCCTATAGTTAAGAGTCTCTTATTGCCTCCCTCTCTGTTTTTAATCATATTTTATTTATATTGCTTCTCTTAGAATTAGAAATGTCCTCAGTTTAGACATTTATTTCAACATTTTTTACATGAATATCATTGCATGCAACTTTGTACTGCAAGGATGAAGACGTAACTTGAAATACAACCTGAGATGCTCTATATTACCTCTTCTTATATTCTATCCATCATGTGGTTTAAGGGAAACTTTTATACACTGAAAATAAAGGGGAATTTATAATTTAATAAAATGTTCTGTTTGATGACTCCATAGTTTGATCTCTAAATTTAGTTTTCCAGATAAGTTAAGACAGTAAAATGAGTGAATATTCCAAGGCTTTAACCTTACTAACAGTAATTTTTTACTGAGGTAATAGTGTAACTATAAGCATAAAAGATATCCCTTATATTATCAGTCCTCTTTGTATTTGTCATTAAGATGTCATTAAGATATAATTGTTCCTTACCAATGCTCAAAACAAAAATCCCACGAAGTATGTGCTTATTGATGCTTGTGTGTATACACAAAAATCATTCCTTTAGTGTAGGTTGTGGAGGAGAGGTTGAGATATCATGAGAGCAAGTTTTATTGTTTATTATTATAACACTAAATAACATTGAAAACCATAAGGAATATCATGAACAAATGTTTTGGGTTCAAATTAACAATTTTACAGTGCTCCTAAACAATTACCAAAACACACAATGCACCAAAGGAAAAAAAAAAATTACAATGCACAATAGCTAATCACATAGTTCTACACTCACCTTACACTGGGGGATAACCTGCTGTTACTGCTGCTTTCTTCTGGCACAGATCTGTGAAATTGACAAAATTTATCTTAAGTGGAGAAATTTAAAAATCTTGAACTAAGTGACTATTTGAATGAAGATTATTTTTCAAAGAAAAATAATGATTCATTAAATATTGTGACTCATTAAATAAAATGTCTCCTTCCAACAAAATAAAACAGATATTGATCTTTTTTTTCCTTTTCTTTCTTGAATAGATTAATATGCAGTGAGTGTTATATTAGTTTCAGGTGTACAATATAATGGTTCAACAATTTTATACATTACTCAGTGCTCATCAAGGTAAGTGTACTCTTAATCCCCTTCATCTCTTTCACCTATCCCCCCCTCACTGACCTTCCCTCTGGGAACCAGTTTGTTTTCTGTATTTAAGAGTCTGTTTTTTTGTCTTTTAAAAATTCTGTTTCTTAAATTCCACATATGAATGAAATCATATGGTATTTGTCTTTCTCTGATTGGTTTATTTCACTTAGTATTATACCCTCTAGGTTCATTCATGTTGTTGCAAATGGTAAGATGTCATTCTTTTATGGTTGAGTAATATTCCATTGTGTATATATACCACATCTTTATTCATTCATCTAAAGATGAATCTTAATATTAGAAGAAATGCCATCATCCACCTTGCTTTTTTGATGAACTCATCTTCATTTTACATTTGCTCAATTATTTATGGGCCCGCATTTGTATAGACATGCCCTCTGATTCTATGATACCCCTAACTCTTCAGGCCAAATTAAGCCAAAACCTTAAAGTAGCCATCAAAAATTTAAGCTAGTTTTTCTATAGATTTCTATTTTTTTCTTTCTCTTATAACATATATCTGTGTCTTCTCTTCCTGTCATTTACTGGAGGTTAAAACTAGAGATAAATACTTCTGTGGGAAAATACAGTAAATTATGAATAAGGGGCCTAATAACTATGTATAAATATTTATGTAACTGATTATAGATAATGTGATTTCACTTCCTGATTTGGTATACCCAAAAATTTATGATACATTGGAAAGCTATTATTATCTCCCATTTTATAGAGTTATAGAGAATAATTTTAAGAACACAAAGATTAAGTCACTTGCTCAAGGTATCATAGTTTCTGCATACAAGATTTAGGAGTTAAAACTAGGTTTTCTGAAAGTAATTTCTTCCCCATTTCATGATGCTGCCTCCCATCTCCTACCTAGCCTGTGTTTTGAACTGCACATGTAATTTCTGGTTAAGAAATGGCTTTACAAACTAGCAATGTCAATACTTAGGAAAACAATATTTTGGAATAATATTTTGGAAGCAGGTTCATAAATACCATTTTAGTTGAGCTGTTCTAATAGAGTTGTCTGAGAGTCTGTATCTAAAAATTTATCTTTTGAAAGTTCCTTTGAAATGCAGTGTTATATATTCTCAGAAGCCTTTGGACAATAGACTCTTAATAAGACTATTTCGACAGCTTTGGCTGACTAACAGGCTGAATAAACATCCACTATCCTCAGCAATCATATCTCCTCTTAAAGAAATACTCATGGGTAAAATGAGGGGAAAAAATGGAGAACATCAAACTGGTTTGAAATGTATCCCTTGACCTCTCCTCATATTGCCTCATATTGTTCTACTTATAATCTTAGATTTTCCTGATGAAACAGGAGTACTTTTTTCTTGACTCATTGAATTTAATAGGAGTAAACATATATATACCTCTCACTTTCAGTTTCCTCTCTGTAGCACAGCTCCCTTATTTTATTCTGTTTTATTAAAACAGTGGCAGTGATGATGAGCACAGGTAAAGAAATGTAGAAAATGAGTAGTAATCGGTGTTTTGAAGGAGTGGTATTTTGTTCGCTCAAGTAGCTTTTTCCTATAATAGAAAATAACCATTTCAAATTATGTTAGAGATTGTATTAACCAGACAAAAATGTGGAGAGGATATCATTACCAACACTATTCCCAAACAGTAAACATTTCAGTCATATATATTATAAATATAATAAATATTAAATAATAAATTAACATATAAAACAGACTGTTACTAGTACTTTATTGATGTCTATAAGTTCTCAACATTGCATCATATAGTGATTTATTTGAATGAAGATAATCTTTCATAAGCACATGTTTAATACCTCCAAACATTTCTTCAGTTTCTTTCTGATACAGCTTATCCAAAATTCAAACATGTATACCACAGAGAGTGTTGGGACTGTACCTATATATAAGAATTAAATTTGGGAAGTGTGACATTTAATCTCTCTCACATTATTAAATATTTTACTAATAATTAAAAATTAGTAGTCACTAAATAACAAATATTTAACTAAGTTCTTTAGTCAAATATACAGCAACTGGAAATTGTAAAATGGCTCTAGAATTATTTTGTAGAACGCATGGCTAAGTCTGGCTTTGACCCATTTCTGTCCAACTAATGTTAATGTCACATTTTTCTCATCAGTTCTTTTTTTTTAAGATTTATTTATTTATTTAAGACAGAGAGAGAGAGAGAGAGAGAGAGAGAGAGAGAAAGAGAGCACACACATGTGTGCACAAGTGGTGGCGGGGGGGAAGGCAGAGAAAGAGAGAGAATCTCCAGCAATCTCCCCACTGAGTGCAGAGCTGACACAGGGCATGATCTCAAGACCCTGAGATCACAACCTGAGCTGAAATCAAGAGTCTGATGCTTAACCGACTGAGCCACCCAGGTGCCCCCATCATCAGTTCTTACGCATTCTCAGCTGACATCTGTATTTATTCCTGAGTATCTGATCTATGTGGCTCCACAACTTTTACCTCTTTGTACATACCAGCCACCTATCTGGGTTTGTAATGTGTCAAACTCTGTTTTAGCCACAATTTATTGGCATGTTTTTGATTTTGTTGTTTTCCAGTTGAAGCAGTGGGGAAGTTGACAGGTAGAGGAGCTACCCCCCAGCTATAGTCATGCATGATCATGGCTCAATATATTCCTCTTAGAACTGCCCCAGTGCTTCACAAGATAAAACTTGTGAACCATGAAACTGGATAATTAGCTGAGATTTCTAAGCAAAATATTTAATGTATGGCCCAGCTCCTCCCAACTGCTCAGAGCAAATGTGAGAGCAGATTGATGAGTTGAAGAAGAGTTAAACTTAGAGACTTGAAGAATTCTCAGCCTAACCAAATGCTCAATGTGTGGCTGGAAAGTCATTTGATATTGAGATTATTGCATGTGAACTATTTTAGCAGCCATCTCAGCAGAAGAAAGGAATAGGGATGAGATTATGAAGGCAGAAACCCTGCCAGGTTGAACCGAAGGGAACAGGATGGGACAATATAGTCATTTCACTGCTGTTATACTTCATTCTTCAAGAAGAGAGAAGAATGCCCCAAAGGTGATTCAGAGATCAGGGTTTTCTTGTCCATCACAGCCCCAGGAGCTTCCCTCCTTGGCTTCAGCTAGGCTGCCCCAGCCCAGTGCCTGGGAGGCTGCAAACTGTTGTGTGGGCAGGGCCAAAAGGGTAGGGGTGGATGTCACTGAGGGCTATGGGATGATGCTGTCACTACAGTGGGCCTGGAGGACAGAATATCAAGCCAGAGAGAATATTCTTGAAACTTAAAACTCTAATGCAAGTTAGCTTGCTAGGTTTTGTATTTACTGGGATCTGTCATCCCTTCTTCCCTTCCTTCCAACTTCTTTCTTCAGAATGAGAATGTCTATCCTATGCCTGTCTCACTGCTGTTTTTCATGATAAAATATTGGAAGTTTCCCTAGGAGTAAAATAATGATCACTTCTTTTGTGATTATATCCTTTTATTCTGAATGGATTACCCAAGGCAATTATGAGATGGGGGTAGAGATTAACTAAAGAAAAGGAAAGAAAAATTATTATTAAAAAGATGTGGCAAAATTATTAATTACAGTTACATCATTTAACTGCCCTAAAAACTAAAAGACTTGAAAATAGTGATAGTCCATTGATAAAATGTACACACAAAAATTTGTAGGCTTCCTACATGTAAAAAGTAACAAGTTAAAAATACAATGACAGGAAGACTTTCTGACAACAATTTTCAATAAAATGATATTTCTTAAAATGCAAAAGGTAATTTCTGATCCATATTTCATTCTATACCTATAAAGATATCTAAACCACAATGAGTTATCAGCTTATACCCGTCAGGATGGCTACAATTTACAAAACAGAAAATAACAAGTTTTGGCAAGGATGTGGAGAAACTGGAATCCTTGTGCCCTGTTGGTGGGAATGCAAAATAATGCATCCTCTGTGGAAAACAATATGGAGATTCTTAAAAAAAGTTAAGCATAGAATTACCATAAAACCTAGCAATTCCACATCTAGGTATATACCTCAAATTATTGAAAGCATGGACTCAGATACTAATACACCCAAGTTCATAGCAACATTAGTCACAATCACTAAACCTTGGAAGTAACCCAATTATCCATTGACGAATGAATAAGCAAAATGTAGTACATACCTATAATGGAATATTAACAGCCTTAAATAGAAAGGGAATTATGGCACCTGGGTGGCTCAGTTGGTTAAGCGTCTGCTTTCAGCTAGGGTCATGATCTCAGGGTCCTGGAATCAAGACCCTCAACAGGCTTCCTGCTCAGCAGGGAGTCTGCTTCTCCCTCCGTTCCTCCCCACTGCTAATGCACTCTCTCTCTCTCTCAAATAAATTTAAAAAAATTTTTTTAGAGATTATTTATTTATTTATTTATTTGTCAGAGAGAGAGAAAGAGCACATAGGCAGGCAGAGTGGCAGGCAGAGGCAGAGGGAGAAGCAGGCTCCCCGTGGAGCAAGGAGCCCAATGAAGGACTCCATTCCAGGATGCTGGGACCATGACCCGAGCCAAAGGCAGCTGCTTAACCAACTGAGCCACTCAGGTGTCCCCCCCAAAAAAATTTTTTTTAAAAACACATGTTCCAACATGAACTTTGAGGACATTGTACTAAGTAAAATAAGCCAGCTACAACATGACAAATACTGTATGATTCCACTTATACAGAGTCTCAGAAGTAGTGAAATTCATAGACACAGAAAGTAGAATGGTGATTTCTAAGGAGCTGGGGAGAAGGGAAAGGGGAGTTATCATTTAATGAATATATACTTTCAGTTCTGCAAGATTAAGAATTCTGAACGTGGATGGTGGTTGCACAACAATGGACTTAATGCCACTGAATCGTAGTCTTAAAAATGGTTAAAAAGGTAAATTTTAAGTTATGTGTATTTTACAAGTAAACATACATATTTAAATGTGTGTATGTTAGAAAGGGTCAAAAATATTAGTAAAATAGATTGCCAAGTGTGATGAAAGAGCAATACACAGCAGAATTATAAATTTCCTATAATCATAGGTAAATGGGAAGCTTCATGAAAATTAAAGAGATGTAAATGAATTTCTTTTTACTATGAGCTTGTCATGGATTAAAAAGATTGATAATAACCCCTGAAAATCAAGAATAATGTATAGTACTATTGGTGGTAATTTCTGGAGTTAGGATTACATAAAAATTTTTGAAAGAACAATTATAATGTGAAATTAAAATATAGTCTATGATTTTATATATTAAGTAGACAAGTAGACAAAAATATAGGAGAATTTAGATTCTAGAATGTGCAAACAGGCACCACACACATAAACACATATATATTCCATTATGTACATATGTATATCTTTGTTCTTATATCTATATATGTCATGCTGTAAAATGGTTATATATTCTTTGATAATACCCATGAAATATTAACAAAAGTTGATAATGTACTGATACAAATAAAGCCATCATGAATTCCACAGTTTTAGTTTTTTCCAAGTCATATTTTGTTAAGTCAGTGATATACAAAATAAATAGAATAAATAGAATAAAAGTGTTAAAGAAACTGGGCTTCTTAAGATCACCTTGCCTCAGAGAGGAGGGCATGGGGGTCCAGGGAGGGTGGGTGACAGCTAAAAGTTACAAGGGGTGATAGCTTCTTTTTGAGATGATGGAGATGTTCTAAAATTGTGGTAGTGCTTGCCTATCTGAGAATATACTAAAAACCACTCAATTCTACACTTTAAATAGGTGAACTGTACAGTATATGAAATTATATCTCAGTAAAACTTAAAAAAAAAAAGATCACTTTCCCTCTCATCTTTATGCTCCAAAACGCATTTGACATCACAAGAGCTTCCCCCTTGTTGAGTCCAGGCCTCATCTTTGTACGGGTACAGGGCCCCAGGAAGAACCATTGGGGACAGAAAATGCATGCAGCCAGATGGCATACCAGGCTGGGGCTTTCAGAGTACACCTACAAGCCCCAGAATACATGGGTGAAGACAGACTCTACGGCAGCTGATTAAATGAAACTAGCTGGATTGAAAGTTTTCCTCTGATCCCAGGCTCAAGAACCACCATTCTACTGACATCAGGACCCAGAGTGACCTTGGGAAACGAAGCATGAACATTTGCCTGGGATGATCCAAGTTGTCATATGCAAAGTCTCAAATACTGAATAATCCATTCCTGAGATGGGAAATTTTCTGAGTTACAGCAACTGGTTTGGAGGGTTGAAGCAAAAGAAGAAAATCCATATGGAAGCTTAAAAAAATGAGTGAAAGCAGCACTGTTTTGGTGTTAAATGAATGAAGCATAAATTACCTGTCTTCTGTACTTTCTGTTTTTAACTCTGACAGCTGATCTCGACAATTTTAATTTGTGATTCATTCTGAGTGATGTGACTTAAGTGTGCAACCCAAGGGTATTGAAATCATTAATAGTCCATCTTTTTTTTTTTTTTTTAAAAGGAGGACTCATTCTTTTTTTTTTTTTTTTAGATTTTATTTATTTATTTGACAGAGAGAGAGATCACAAG